CAACATTTACAAATTTAAGGTATTTTTCTCAATTTTATTTATTATTTACAAATCTATCTGATTATTTACATTATTTATTATTTACAATCTGCCTGATTATTTACATTTAATTTTTTTATAGCAGGAATGAATTTTTCATATGCATTTATGCCTTACATTTTATGTATCATTTCATTATTCATGTGTTCATGCATATATTTGTATACCGCCTTATTCCCCATATCATTTGTTTATTTTTTCAAACCTTTTTGAACTCCCTATGGCCTGAAGAAGACCAATATTGATTTTGAGGTCAAAAGGTCGAAGTCATAAATTCATACATTTCTTTCGTTTCCATGTGATATCTCAAGAAGCCTGGTGTCGGGTCCTCATTTTACCATGTTGACCTGATGAAGAGTGATTAATTATATAATAACACAACTCTTTATTGCCTAAAAGAGACATCGATTGATTTTGAGGTCAGAAGGTCAAAGGTTATGGTAAACAATTAATACATTACAAATAACATTTTCCAATGCTACCCTGTGGCCTAAACAAGAACCTGTTGATTCTGAGGTCAAAAGGGCAGAGGTCAAGGTAAAAAATTAATACATTCTGTTTACACTTTCCATTCCAAACAATATCTTTAAAAACCTTTGAGATTTTGCAAAGAGAGTTTATATCCAATCCCCCATGGTTTTAGAAAACCATATAGATTTTAAGGTCAAAAGGTCAGGGTCAGAAATATATATTGCATATATAGTTTTAGATGATATTCTATTTTTTCTGCAAGCTTTTGCAAAGAAACTTTTGGTCAATAACTTCTTTTCTTAAACTTTAAAAAAAGACTTCTATTGACATTAAGATCCTGTTAAATTTGTCTGGCCATAAATCTACATGTAAGGAGTTAGTTTTAGGATATTCCTAAATCATAAGTGTTTTCTAAATTCCCTAAGCCTTTTTCCCTAGCTAGGTTGAGCTAGCATTTCTGTACACTAGGAATGGGGGAGGGGTGATTTTTCAGCATTAGGTAGGTTAGGGTTTTTCTTCAAGGCAGAAAATTACAGTTCTTACTCGACACATTGATATTGTAAGGTACTTTTGAGATAAACAATGAATGTGAATATAATTTTGTTTTGTTTTTTTTTTGTTTTGTTTTTTGTTTTTGTTTGTTTGTTTGTTTTTGCAAAATTGTTGCGTAACGGCGTAGCGCAGAATGGCTTTGACCACCAGTTAGCTATAAATCAAGTCATGAGTTAGAATCACGCCGGAGCTTACATAAATTTCACCTTTCCAAACAAATTTAATAAAAGAAATTATGGATATTCATTGAAAATATGACAACAACAAAGAGTTCAGCACTGCTGATACCTATAAAGCGTAGTTACCATGACGACCTTTACATATTTAGAAGAACAGGCTGTCCCTTCTATATAACGTACTGAAGATCAATAACAATAATTTACATATTTCATCCAATTTTTTTTGAAAGTTAAAGAAATTTTTAGAGGTGAATTTAGATATAAACAATAAAATACTTTCTTTGATGGTTCACGTGGGAAATGCACGGCGCAAGCATTGCAGGGGGTGTTCACCGTATTGTTGACAGACCAGGGTCAGAGGTCATTACATGTATTTACATAACAAAGCTATAAACCTACAATAATGCTATTGATTTCACTGCACTTCTAAGAAATATAATGTGAATTTTTTGCATGGAATCAAATATTTCTTTGCCCCTAGTTTATGTTTCATATTTACCGCGTTATAAATTTCAGCAGTGAAGGTAATAATAAATATATGGCGAACAAATTCAAGTTGCAATCATTTAGACACATTTCAAATTGAAAATATCGGTTATATTGACGTTATTTAATTACTTCGATTTATTTCAAAGTTAAGAAATGAAAATAATGTTATTGTAATTTTTGGCGGAAAAAGAATGCTTACTTCACTAAGATGTGATTCTAGCTGGAGTTGTAACCCCCCCCCCTTCCCCTCAAAAAAGCATAAAAGAAAGGAAGGATAAAATAAAATCGGGTAGTTACATTAATATTGCTCCTACGATCATGAGCTTTTTGCCCCCGTTGAGATGGCCAGATACATAAATAACATATAGTAAATGTGTCTCCGAGATGGCGAGGTATATTTACTTATAGAAACAGGCTATGAGACCGTGGTCTCATCTAACTCAAAACGAGGCTATTGCTCACCGGAATGGGTTCTCTCATCTATTTTCCCCTAATCATATCCGGTTATAATGTAAGCCTAACGTTTCCGTGCAAAATTATGAAATTATTTTGGTTGTGTCTAAATATCACGAGCCTAGCGTAATTATGAATATTTATGAGATGCCTCTAACGATTAAAAGGAATCCGATGCAGTACTTTATTTCCGGAATGTTTAGTATCATCGTCAAAAAGAATAACGATCGATAGCAACATATCAGTTTTTTTTCTTTTTAATGTATTCCACACTGATTTTACCTTATTTATCTTTGCCGATAATAACTGAATTTAATACAATTTTTTTTTTCACATAAAAGAATTATTGAAAGCTATTGCTTGGTTTTCATGTGCAGTTGTACATTAAAGAAATAATATAAATAAATTCTAAAAAAAAATATATTTATAAATAAATAAATAGATAAATAAATAAATAAATAACAAGGGCACTGAAGAAAAGAAAAAAAAATGTGAATGATAATAAGTAAAAAAAAAAATGAAATTAGATTGTAAATGATGGGAAGATAGATATCAATTTTCTAAACAAAACAACACCAGATAAATTATAACTATATTTAATAAATAATTCTGAAATTAACAGTATTAAATTAAAACAAACAGGAAGAAAATATGAAACATATTTCAGAAAGTCATCTGATCTAATCTGATAACATTAAGTCCAGCATCCATTTTCCTGATATGCCAAGCTACTGTATTGGTATGCTCTACTGAATACAATATATGTGACGCACCTGTACCCTAGGCTTTGGAAACAATCTACCAAGTACAAAAGTAACACACCTGCACCCTAGGTTTTTAATAAGGTCATCTGGGAACTACATAACAGTGACCCTCCTGTACCCTAGGCTATTGATACGATCTACTGAGTACTACATAACAGGTAAGAGTCCAGTACCCTAGGCTATTGATACGGTCTACTGAGTACTACATGACAGGTAAGAGTCCAGTACCCTAGGCTATTGATACGGTCTACTGAGTACTACATGACAGGTAAGAGTCCAGTACCCTAGGCTATTGATACGGTCTACTGAGTACTACATGACAGGTAAGAGTCCAGTACCCAAGGCTATTGATACGGTCTACTGAGTACTACATGACAGGTAAGAGTCCAGTACCCAAGGCTATTGATACGGTCTACTGAGTACTACATGACAGGTAAGAGTAAAGTACCCAAGGCTATTGATACGGTCTACTGAGTACTACATGACAGGTAAGAGTAAAGTACCCTAGGCTATTGATACGGTCTACTGAGTACTACATGACAGGTAAGAGTCCAGTACCCTAGGTTATTGATACGGTCCACTAAGTACTACAGGACAGGTAAGAGTCCAGTACCCTAGGCTATTGATACGGTCTACTGAGTACTACAGGACAGGTAAGAGTCAAGAACCCTAGGCTACTGATACGGTCTACTGAGTACTACAAGACAGGTAAGAGTCAGGAACCCTAGGCTATTGATACGGTCTACTGAGTACTACAGGACAGGTAAGAGTCCAGTACCCAAGGCTATTGATACGGTCTACTGAGTACAACATGAAAGATAAGACACCAGTACCCTAGTTTATTGATACGGTCTACTGAATACTACATGACAGGTTAGAGACCAATACCCAAGGCTATTGATATGGTCCACTAAGTACTACAGGACAGGTAAGAGTCCAGTACCCAAGGCTATTGATACGGTCTACTGAGTACTACATGAAAGATAAGACACCAGTACCCTAGGCTATTGATACGGTCTCCTGAGTACTACATGACAGGTAAGAGTCCAGTACCCTAGGCTATTGATACGGTCTCCTGAGTACTACATGACAGGTAAGAGTCAGGAACCCTAGGCTATTGATACGGTCTACTGAGTACAACATGAAAGATAAGACACCAGTACCCTAGTTTATTGATACGGTCTACTGAGTACTACATGACAGGTTAGAGACCAATACCCAAGGCTATTGATACGGTCCACTAAGTACTACAGGACAGGTAAGAGTCCAGTACCCAAGGCTATTGATACGGTCCACTAAGTACTACAGGACAGGTAAGAGTCAGGAACCCTAGGCTATTGATACGATCTACTGAATACTACAGGACAGGTAATAGACCAATACCCAAGGCTATTGATACGGTCCACTAAGTACTACAGGACAGGTAAGAGTCCAGTACCCAAGGCTATTGATACGGTCCACTAAGTACTACAGGACAGGTAAGAGTCAGGAACCCTAGGCTATTGATACGATCTACTGAATACTACAGGACAGGTAATAGACCAATACCCAAGGCTATTGATACGGTCCACTAAGTACTACAGGACAGGTAATAGACCAATACCCTAGGCCATTGATACGGTCTCCTGAGTACTACATGACAGGTAAGACCCCAGTACCCTAGGCTTTTGATACGGTCTACTGAGTACTACAGGACAGGTAAGAGTCCAGTACCCTAGGCTATTGATACGGTCTACTGAGTACTACAGGACAGGTAAGACCCCAGTACCCTAGGCTATTGATACGGTCTACTGAGTACTACAGGACAGTTAATAGACCAGTACTCTAGGCTATTGATATGTTCCACTGAGTACAATATATAAGTGAAACACCTGTACCCTAGGATATTGATACGGTCTACTGAGTTCATATATAAGTGACACACCTGTACTCTAGTGCAAATTGTTAAGTTATTATGGATTCATGATTCAGGTAGCTATTTTTATGAAAGTTTTATGATATGCATTTCTGTGTTCATCATTTTTGAATTAAGATATAACTAGAGTTCAGCAATTTCATCCTGTACAGAACGCTCTGTAAGAGTGCATCTTTCATCTGCTTCTTCGTATGGTAAACCTGTTCTCTTACATATCAGATACACTATAGATTCTTTAACCAAAACCAGGTTCATGTAATGTACTCCCATTCTGAAATTATAAAAAGGTAAAGAAAATTTAAATGAGTTTGAAAGAAATAGAAATAAGATCACATTTTTTCATAGTACAAAGTTAAATTTATAGACTTGTTTAAAAAAATGTGAAAAAATACTGCATACAGGTTATTTTTAAGTGTTATTTTCTACTTAACACACCTTCGAATAATTTCGTCTAAACACATTTGTATTCAATGAGATATGACTTTCTCTGAAGTTACCCTTTTTTAGCTCACCTGAGCCGAAGGCTCAAGTGAGCTTTTCTGATCAAAATTTGTCCGTTGTCTGTCGTCGGCGGCGGCGTCGTCGGCGTCGTTGTTGTCGTAAACTTTTCACATTTTCATTTCTTCTCCAGAACTACTGGGCCAATTTCAATCAAACTTGGCACAAAGTATCCTTGGGTGAAGGGGTTTCAAGTTTGTTCAAATGAAGGGCCATGCCCTCCTCCAAGGGGAGATAATTACGAAATAGCAAAAAATTAATGGCATTATTGAAAAATCTTCTTCTCATGAACCAGTGGGCCAGGAAAGATGAAACTTATGTGGACGCATCCTCAGGTAATGTAGATTCAAGTTTGTTCAGATCATGACCCCCGGGGGTCGGGTGGGGCCACAATGGGGGATCAAAGTTTTACATAGGAATATATAGGGAAAATCTTTAAAAATCTTCTTCTCAAGAACAGCAAAGCCATGATTGGTCATATTTATGTGGTAGCATCCTCAGATAGTGTAGATTCAAGTTTGTTCAAATCATAACCCCCGGGGGTCGGGTAGGGCCACAATGGGGGATCAAAGTTTTACATAGGAATATATAGGAAAAATCTTTAAAAATCTTCTTCTCAAGAACAGCAAAGCCATGATTAGTCATATTTACATGGAAGCATCCTCATGTAGTGTAGATTCAAGTTTGATCAAATCATGACCCCCGGGGGTCGGGTGGGGCCACAATGGGGGATCAAAGTTTTACATAGGAATATATAGGAAAAATCTTTAAAAATCTTCTTCTCAAGAACAGCAAAGCCATGATTAGTCATATTTACATGGAAGCATCTTCAGATACTGTACATTCAAATTTGTTCAACTCATGACCCCCGGGGGTTGGGTGGGGCCACAATGGGGGATCAAAGTTTTTACATAGGAATATTTAGGAAAAATCTTTAAAAATCTTCTTCTCAAGAACAGCAAAGCCATGATTGGTCATATTTATATGGTAGCATCCTCAGATAGTGTAGATTCAAGTTTGTTCAAATCATGACCCCCTGGGGTCGGGTTGGGCCACAATGGGGGATCAAAGTTTTTACATAGGAATATATAGGAAAAATCTTTAAAAATCTTCTTCTCAAGAACAGCAAAGCCATGATTAGTCATATTTACATGGAAGCATCCTCAGATAGTGTAGATTCAAATTTGTCACCTCATGACCCCCAGGGGTTGGGTGGGGCCACAATGGGGGATCAAAGTTTTACATAGGAATATATAGATAAAATCTTTAAAAATCTTCTTCTCAAGAACAGCAAAGCCATGATTGGTCATATTTATATGGTAGCATCCTCAGATAGTGTAGATTCAAGTTTGTTCAAATCATGACCCCCGGGGGTCGGGTGGGGCCACAATGGGGGATCAAAGTTTTACATAGGAATATATAGGAAAAATCTTTAAAAATCTTCTTCTCAAGAACAGCAAAGCCATGATTGGTCATATTTAAATGGAAGCATCCTCAGATAATGTAGATTCAAATTTGTTCAATTCATGACATCCCCCCCCCCCCCCCCAGAACCACTTTTATATTAAACTTTTCAACCTTTCAAGACTGAACTGATTTCTGCTTTTTCCTAGCCATAGTGCTCAGGTGAGCGATGTGGCCCCTGGGCCTCTTGTTAATTTCTCTCACAGATGACCTAAGCCAATTAGGTGAAAATAACACAGAGACCAAAATATCCTGGTTTACAGTATAAAGAAAAGAAAAACACATACAAAATGTTTTCTCTCAGGATATGTTCTAGGTGTTGATTTTTCAGGTTTTCATATGATCTGTATCTTGTGTAGATGGATCTGAAAGTTGTTTCATGACTATAGTGCAAATGGCAAATGTAAATGAAAATACATTGTTTCATTAAAAACTGAAAGAAAAACTAGCTAAATTACCCATGTACTGGCTTGCTGACACACATCTTTTCTGTCAGGACTGTGTGTAAATGCTCCATAACCTTCAAAAGATGAAACAATATTGACTTCTGCACAAAGCACAACAAAAGACAAAAACAGATGATTAATTTTAAGAAAAGACAGATTCCATCCCAAATCCCATGAAATAATATAAATGTATACTTACCTTTGCGCTAATAAAATTCTCCCCATAACAGTACTTTTTGTTGAATTTCTCATACAACAACACAGGATTTTCCATAAATTGATGATGCCGTACATGATCAACTTCTTCACTGTAGAAATACATTTAAAATGAAACATACAAACCTGAATTTCAATAAAAATTAGTATAGTACTTAAGAGACCAAAGTATTATTTCAAGCATCAAGTATCTTAACTATATACCAGTCTTTCATAGTGCAGTTCATAATCTCCTTCAAGTATGCAACAACACTGTTCACCTGCAGATTGCATGGAAATAAAATGAAATTAATACATGACAACACTGAACTCAAGACAAGAATGACAACACTTCTACTATTTAACAGCAACAAGATAATGTTTTAATTTTTTGAAAACTATATATATTCTATTACATTTTACAAATTATGATATACATGTATAATAAATGATATTCTATTCTACTCACATGACTGTTTATGAAATCTGTTTGAATTTCTGAAAGGAAAAGATCATCAGTATTTACACTGTGTGCGATATTTAAAATTTTTAAAACAAAATTTTATTTTTAAAAAACTTTGATATGAAATATTGATCACTCACTGTTCTGGTTTGTTACAGCCTCACTAACACCATCAGCATTGAAATCATCTTCATCATCCTCATCCTCATTATCATCTGTTCTGTCCATCTGTCTGTTCATCACAACATCATCTTCTCTGTTCTCAGCAATAGCAATGATGTCATCTTCCTTCTCATCAACATCATCATTAATGACATCTGCATCTGCACTGACTTTAAATCCATTAACTTTCCTTCCAACACTTCTTTCTTCAACTTCTTCAACACCACCTTTTTCTACAGCAACAGCCCTGTGTCTTCTGAATGCAAATTACAATTATTTCAATAATCATATGTCATTGAATAAATTAAAAGTATAAAATTATGCATCTTATTTTATAAATTAATATAACATTAATTAAAGATTAAGTATTAAAGTATATAAAACCAATGTTATAATAAACAATTGTTGAAGACTTATTGAGACAAATACTACAAGTGAAATATATTGACACAGTTGTCTTAAAAAGATATTGATGTTAGAATTTACATAATTACTCACAAAACATTATCCTTTACAGTGTCTTCTGGTTTTCCATACCTGAAATATTCAATTCATACTTTACAAATTTATTATACATGTGGTGCAATATGAATTTCAGAGTTATTTTCCCTTTGTCCACCTATAGTACTATGTATTAGAAATGGCTTAACAGTTCAACAGTAGATGTTCAAATGTTAACAGAGGGTTGACCACAAGCATTGCGAAGTGCAGACAATTAAAACAGATAACAATATTTCACCCTAAGAGATTTAGGTAACCTGAAAATATCAGTGGGGTAACTGTAATAAAGTCTGTAATAAAGTCTACACTAAACATGAACATAATTTTCCTAAGAGGTAAACTCATGCTTCTAAAACTAAATCATATCACATGCCTACAGTTGATTCAAAAATTGTACCGAGTACAGTTACATGACTATCAATGAAATGGGCTTCTATCTAAAGCAATCCATGCAGTTTTTATCAACTATATATCTGGCTTACGTCTTGACGAATGTCTTATAAATAGCAATTCAAATACAGCAATACAGGCCACAATTCCCAAAGAGTTTTTGATCTTTGTTGTAGGGAATGTGGAAACTCTTGTACACATAACTCCTGGACCAGTATTTTTTTTTCTCTAGGTATTTAAACATGATGTCATGAGTGGAAGGTTGTTAAGTTCATAAAAAAATTTTTTTTCATACCCCACTCCTGACTTAAGAACAAAAGGCATAACATTTCTCTTTGTGGTTTAATTGCTACATGTAACTATTCACTAGGGTTGTGCATTTGTGGAATGTTAATGCAAAATGTACCCCCTTCCCCATTTTATTTATTAAAATAGATATTTATAAATTTACAAATGTATCATACAATGTAAAATCTCCAATTTGATGGGGATTAAAATTAATTACTATGGATTAAAGTTTTACAATATATAAAATAAATTCAATTTTCTAAACAAACTACAGTCTTATTAGCTTTTGAAAGCTTCTGATCCAAGAACAGATTTGAGCAAAAATCAGTAAAAAGTGTTTTTTAAAATTCTCTCTTACTAAACCGTCAAAACTTTTTGTTTTTGTATCACTTTGTATTTTGATATGACTACTTAACCATATGTGAAAATAAGAAAAATTTAAATATATGAAGTATATCAAAATAACTATTTTATCCCTAAAAATTTAATTAAAATGAACGAAATTCGGATTTACCAATATTTATTTTATTTATACTTTTAATCTTAATTTGGTAGTATCATCTGATAGACCTTATATGGTGAGATCATTTTATGCAAAAAGAAAAACATTTAATCTTTTAAAATAAATGGAGGCATTAAATGATTAGCAAAAGTAATTTTTTTTGCTGGATGTCAAAGAAAAAGATGATGACCCTGACCTGACCTTGCACCTAAAATAAAACGGTCAAATTGAATCCCATTGATATCATCACTTAGTGATATCGGCATCTGAAATCTGTGAAATTTTCATTAATTTTTAAATACAATAAATATGAGAAGAATCCCTCCTTAATTAGCTGTTGAATGTTGATTATATGCAGATAACACAAGACTATATGAATAATATGAAATATATGTATATGCAAATGTTGAACAACAATATGATAATGAAATTAAATTCACAATCACTGTGAAATGTTATCAAAATTAAAGCACCTTCCTTTAATTTAATAAGATTTTGCCTGCTTTAATATACATTAAATTTGTGATCTTATAATCATGGCTTAAAAATAATAACAAGCAACACTATTTTGATAACATCATGCAAAATCATTGGAAAATACATTTTGAACAACTAATTCTAAATTTTCAAAACTGAATTAAATGCCATGCGAAATGTATCTTAATATGACTACCTTCCCCTTAAATCACTATATAAAAAAGAACTTCTTTTCTTTTTCTGAAACAAAATTTACCAGGTGGTGAATGATGCAAAATAAACAAAATCATTACTTTAACACAGACACAAACTTTTATGTCAACACTTAATGCTATATTGTGCATTGAGTAAAGTATACCTTCGGAGGATCTTTTCTCAGATCAGGCTCCAGATTCACACAGTGTTGGTCAAGTGAGGTACACATTCCACATGTAAAGTTAGAAACTCCTATACACCCACAGTGAAAGAATTTGTCGCATTTCTCACACCCTATCTGCAAGATTTTTTTAATTATAAAATTTAAAATAAGTCCAGGTTAAAATTTACAAGCAAAACATTTATGTATACATAAACGAAATACATTTCAGAACAAAAATCATACCCAATCCTCATTTTGTCTTGCTTCTCTATGAAGACTGCATGCCCGGCAGTACTCAAACAGTGGTTCTGCAATATAAATTATTGTTTTAGCTTTAACCTTATTCCAATATTTTTTTAAACTCCTATTTAGATATTTTAGTGGGTGGATACAGAAGGGAGTCAATGGGGTCCAAACCCTCCCTTTCTGGGACCAAAAAAAATTCATAAAAGATTTAAAGATTTATTACAAAAATGACCTAGGAACTGCTCCCCCATTTTCATTGGGAAAATGGAGCCTGGTAAGTAATATAGCTTACACAAGTACATGCATGGACAATGAAGCAAACCCCAAATGAAGAAGTGTTCGTTTTTTTTAAATTGTTTTTTTGTTGTTTTTTTCCCCTTTCTTTGGTCATTTTGTTTTGTGGATTTTCTTTTTTTTTTTTTTTTTTTTGCTTTTCAAAAAAATTCGAGTTCAATTTTTATTTTTTATTTTTTGGAAAGGCTGTGGACCAGCCTCCCCTTCATATTAAAAAATATTTCTGGATCTACACAGGAGATTCTATCAATTACCTGTTGCTTGCAAAAGCTGGTTCCCAATTCCTCGTCTAATTTGATATAGATTATCTGGACGACAACTAAATGTTAGAGGCAAATCAGATATGATCAGCTCAGCAAACTAAAATGCAAAATTTAACAGTGAATATATGATAAAAGGGTAATAAGTGATTTCCAATAAAAAATTATTGACTGCAGGGAGTTTAACATATCTTTTTTTTTTTTCATTTAATCAAAACATCACCAGGCAGATAGATAGGCATTAGAGAATGAAGAGTTTAGATCTAGTGAATATTTTTCACCTTTACAACATACACTCCACAGGAATTAGAATCATACTGCTTTGTATGTTTTATTGTTTCCACTTTCCAGCCATCCTCTGAAATTTCATTCACACCTCTTCTCACTCTACCAAGTAGGAATTCTCTAAACAAAAATATAAAAACCAACAGCCATACAATGCAGTATTTAATAGAATGTAGCAATCATTAAAACTACTGTAGAGCACTAAATTTTCATGACACCTTATTTTTGCGAGATAGACCTTTACTTTTTATTAGTGAGACAAAATTTTCACATATTCTGGTTACTGATTAATATAATCTCTACCAATACTTATATATGCGAGAATGATATTTTCGCGAGCACATTGTCTAACTACGCTAGATAATGTGCTCTTGAATATAAAGTAATTTACAGTATTGCAATCTTAAATAATATTTACCTCCATTTATCTCCAATATCTTTCATAGTTCTCTTTAATTCACCAAGTGGATTAATGTAAACCAGTTTCTTCGTACTTGGATATACCACCTGAATGTGGAAAGACAGAAACATGTACAGACACTTATTTGGATTTTATGAGAATTTCAATGACTTAGTATTTTCTTTAAATTGTTGGAGGGAAGGTTTGGTCACAGTCATCAAACATGGCATCAATATAAATGACCTTGCAAAAAGC